TCAAGAAAGACCCTTCATAGCCAAGGAATTAATTAAGGCTAAAAGGTAACCCATGTCTCAACAAAACCTATTTTCATAGCTATGATTCCCCTCTTAGGATTTCCCCATATTATTGTGTATTGATGATTTGTGATATTATTATTGATGATTGGTGGGATGATTCCATGGGTGATCTTGATGATGAGAGGTTCTTGATAATTATGGTGTTCTTGATGATTATATGACGTTCTTGATGATTATATGGTGTTCTTGATGTTCTTAATGATTATATGATGTTCTTGATATTTATATGATATTCCTACCGAATCTTGATTTTTGAAGATGAATTGTGTTCTTGTTGATTTAAAAATAATTAGAACCCTAGGTTATATCGTGGAATTCGTATGGTATTATTCTTGGTATATTGGGTGGGAATTCGCATGATTGGGTGTTGATTATGTTTAGAAAGGCATGATAGGTTATGTGCCGTATGTTTCTTGATTTTGATCCGTTAATTATCTACGTGTGTTATCAATTGCGTTTGAAAGTGTCTAAGCATGGTTTCGGGTTCCACAAAGGTTCCCGGGGCGTTTTTGGTGAAAAAGAGTCAGTGGGGGGTAGGTGGGGGTAGGGGACCCGCCACCTACCCACGGCCAAAAGAGGCCTCGCTGGCAGCGGGCAGCTGCCCGCCGGGCACCCGCTGCCCAGAACAGTGCCGCCGGCGGGCAGCCGGCGGGTGACCCCTCAGCCACCGGCTACCCGCTGGTTTGTACCCCACCTTGGGATTTTGGCTTCCCCGTTGATATTCCCCCGACCCCCGTGGTGTCCCAACGGACTCCGTCTATCGTGCATATGTCTAGTTTGATATTTCGGGTACCGTTCGTAGGTTGTATGAGTCTTATATATTGCATGCTAGTTGAATTGGTATCCCGTTGACCTAGGTGAAAGAAGTATGAACCCCTTAGGATTATTCTTAGTATGTGAAGGATCACGCATAGGTTTTGTTATACGTTTTCTCCCCCTTCCCAATGTGTTAATGTGGGTTGCATGTGCTTGCTATGTGTTATGTGTGCATGATACCCCAATTCGGTTGCGATCGGGTTAGTCATTCCTAAGCTGCGGTTCAGAAGCTGGATGCGGTCAGATTTACACTCTTGGGCTGCGGTCCACCGTTTGGTTGCGATCAAACGTTTCTACATGAGCTGCGGTTTATTTTCCTGGCTGCGGTCAGATGACATACTCTTGGGCTGCGGTCCACTGTTTGGTTGCGATCAAACTATGATGAGCTGCGGTTCATCGGTCGGTTGCGATCGACCCCTCCGTGTTGCGATACGGGGCAGGGTGCTGCGGGGCCGTCTCAGAGCTATATGCGCTGACCCTCATGTATGGGCATGCGATTGGTCCTGTGGCGCCAACAAAGTGTGCTATGTGATGAAAAATGGATGAGTTGTTGTTATGAGTGTCTTGGGGATGTGACTATGGGATCTATACTGAGAATCATATATGTTGGGTTATGATTATTAATTGTGCTTATCTTTACCTGTCTTGCTTGTTGTAAACTGTATATGCTTGGTATAACTGTTGTCTGTGCTTAGCTCTATCTGCCGAGTCTATCCCTATTTCAAAAGCTAGAGTCTCGTAGGATATATCTTCATGCTTCAAAAATGGTTTTCGTATATCTATATATATGTCTATATGTATTGTGTTTCAACGCGTTGGAGTGGGTTACCAGCATCTCTCGCTGAACAGATATATTTGGCTTTCAGGCACAGACGAGTAGATCACTGGAGCGCGCTAGAAGCTTGGGGCGTAGCTTAGATAGTTTTCCCTTTCGGCCTGCGTGCCATGATTTAGTATTGATACTGATTGAGGTTTTAGAATTTAGCTTGTGCACTTGAGTTCTCTAACTCGGGTGTGGCATAGCACCCCGTACTCTTTGTATCGTATTTTGGGATTTAATGAGATTCTATCTTTATTATATAAGTTTTAAAAGTCTTGAAAATCTGGGGTGTTACAGCAACCAATTGGGGTATCATGCACAATCAACATAGAAGCCAAACAACATGCAACCCACATTAACACATAACGAGGGAGAATCATCGGGGAACACTTATCCTAACATAACTCGTAACAAACCACACTAACCCACCCATGAAACTTCCTATGGGATCATACATTCATACACCTTCCTCCTAGCCCAACGGGATACCAATTCAACTAGCATGCAATACACAAAACTCTTTTACCCTAAGAACGGTACCCGATATACCAAACTAGACTCACACACGACAAACGGGATACAACGGGACACGGGGAAAACATCACGACCTGCACCAAGATTCCAGCGGGTGGCCGGCGGGTGGTGGCTACCCGTCGGCGGCGGTCTACAAACCAGTGGGTGCCCGGCGGGCAGTCGCTTGCCCGCCGGCTGCCCGCTGGGAATTTGGCACGGGGCAGCGGGTAGGTGGCGGGCACCCCCGCACCCACCTACCCCCACTGACTCTTATGTAATATTTTGGTCCCGGGATCCTTCGTGGAACCCGAAACCATGTCCAGACACATTCAAACACAAACAACGACGCCACGTATTCAAGTAACAGATTTAAACCAAGAACCACACCAAATACATCCTAACACGACTCCTAAACATGCCAAGACTCAACACCCGAACATGCAAAATCCCAGCCAAACATACCAAAACCACATAATACGAAATCCACGTTTATTACCCTAGGGCTCTAGACATAATCGAAACACAAGATCGTTCATATAATTTATCATAGTATCAAGAACATCAAGATTATCTCGTAAGCATCAAGATTAACACATAAACATCGAGATCATCATATAAACACCATATAAACCCTAGGCAAAGCTCTATCAAGATTTAAGCACAGAATCACATATCAAAGGAGCCAATGAATAAGACATAGCGAGGAAAATAGGTTTTGTTGAGACATGGGTTACCTCTTAGCCTTAATTAGAATCCTTGGCTACTAAGGTTCTTTCTTTAAGATCTTCTCATCGTGGGTTCTCCTACGTTTGGTGACAGGGGAATTCCTGGGGATTCTTGTGTGGTAAAATCAATTGTGGTGGGATTTCTAGGTTCCTCCTAAGTCCTTATATATATCTAGGAGTCCTAGCTAGGGTCTGAATGGTAAGGATTCACTTATTCTATTCCTTATAGGACTAAGGGTTTGGTTTAAGGATAAGGGTCCATGATCCATGGTGGGCCACCTTAATTAATTAAGGGGATCCTGGCCCAATCAAATCCTTTCTAATTATTATTAATGGTAATCGGTTAAATAATTAGTCCGGGTTAGAGGCCGTAACACGGGGTGTTACTAGACCTGGCAATTATGGACACGACACGAAACCGGACACGAAAATAACGGGTTAGTGTTCAGCCTTAACATGTCCCGGGTTGTTAACGGGTTGACCCGTTAAGGACCCGTTATGTTTCGTGTCTTAACGGGTCAACCCGGTAAACCTATTAAGAACCCATTTAACCCGTTAATATTATCATGTTAACCTGTTAACACGAACCCGTTTACCAAACCTGTTTATAACCCGCTAAGAACCATTATCATGAATGATATTACAAATGATATTATGAACATGACTAAGGATGAATTTCCTACATTAGGCCAAAATCCTACACCATTCAACAATTTAAAATTTGAATTTTTATTGTGTTCAATTTGATTCTAAAAACTAGTATGGACTCCTTTAGTTATGATTTTTTGATGTTATTTTATCATTTTATGAATGTTATGGATTGAATATTTTTTAGTTTGTTTGATGGATTGAACCGTAGTTTTTTTTTTTATATAGAACTTAATTTTAAATTTTAGTTTTTTTTTTTAAATATATGAATAGAAATAGCAGGTTTAAACGAGTTTCGTGTCATATCGTGTCGACATGACTTGAAACATGTTAACAAAACGTGTCTATCGTGTCAACCCGTTTAACCCGTTAATAAATCGTGTTTGTGTTAAAAATTTGAACCCGTTAACCATAACGTGTCGTGTCCGTGTTTAGCCTTATCATGTTCGTGTCGTTATCGTGTCGACCCGTTAACGGACCCGTATACACGAATTGCCAGGTCTAGGTGTTACAATCAAGCTTCGCCTCTTTCCATTCACTGTAAGGGATAAGGCTAATAATTGGCTTATCTCTTATCTGGCGAATTATTTTGAAACTTGGGACCAGTTGCACAGAGAGTTTCTGAAGAGATTTTATCCCATATCCAAGGCTCAGAAAAAGAGGAGAGCAATTCAAAATTTCAGACAGTTGGTTGGTGAGTCTTTGGCAGAGTCATGGGAGAGATTCAAGGAGATGAAGAGACAATGCCCACATCATGGTATTCAGATTTGGGACTTAATGATGGCTTTCTATGATGGATTACTGGATAATTCAAAAATCCTGGTTGATGCTTCATCGGGAGGATCATTTACAGTCCTGGAGCCAGATCAAGCTGATGAACTATTGGAAAATGTTGCAATGAATGGAACAACTTGGTACTCAGATAGATCTTCCCAGAAATTGGTTGGATGTGTGAATGATGGTGAGCAGATATCAGCTTTGTCAGCTAAGGTTGATAATGTGGCTACTTTAGTTCAACAGTTGGCTCAGATTGCTTTCAAGAATCAAACTGCAGGTAATGTTTCTACATCTTCTACTCCTCCAAGACCTATAATGATGTGTGAGCTTTGTGGAGGAGTGCATAATTCAGAGGAGTGTCTCAGTGTTGATTCTCAAGCCACAATGGAACACGTTGATTTGATAGGATATGGCAGGCCATAACAGACATTTTAACAACAAGGAACCTACAACCCAAATGCACCAAGGAACCATCCTGGTTTATCTTGGAGTAATCCAGTTGGGGCAGCTAATCCCCAAGACTTGGGTAATAGAGTTCAACCTCCAGGATTTCAGGGACAGCAGAATTTTAGAGGGGGTCCTCCACAACAGTTCAGGCAAATTTGGAAGCACCAGCCTCGTCAAATTTGGAGGCTTTGATGGAAAAATTGCTTAAGGCTCATATACAGCTTACAGAGAGGGTGGATCAGATAAGTTCCCACAATAAGATGTTAGAAAATCAGTTAGCAAATCAAGCTTCCACCTCCAGGACTAAAGTCACGGGGAAGTTGCCTGCTTCCACCGAAAATCCAAGAGAACACATGAATGCCATCACTACTAGGAATGGAAAACAACTACTGGATCCTCTATATCCTAACAGTGAACAATTTGTCAAGAGGAACCAGGCAGGTGAGAATGAGAAAGTGAATGAAGATGTGGTTACCCAAGACAAAGAAGATGAGATACAGGAAATTGAGCCCGTGAAGAAGCATATACCACCTCTACCCTTCCCACAAAAATTCAAGAAATCTAAGGTGGAGGAAAGAGGGGCAAAATTTTTGAGTTTGATCAAGCAATTGGATATCTCCATTCCTTTGCTTGATGCAATCACTGAGATCCCCTCGTATGCTAAGTTTTTGAAAGAAATTCTATCCAAAAAAAGGAGATCTGAAGATCGTGAGACAGTAGCAGTAAGTGAAGAATGCAGTGCCTTAATTCAAAACAAGCTTCTTCCAAAGCTTAGGGATCCTAGGAGTTTCTCTATCCCTTGTGTTATTGGAGGATCCCTTGTTCAGAGAGCCTTATATGATTTAGGGGCAAGTGTGAGTTTGATGCCCTATTCTTTGTGCCAAAAGCTGCAACTTGGAGAGCCAAAACCTACATCCATGACTCTTCAGTTGGCAGACAGATCAGTGAAGTATCCTATTGGAATCCTTGAAGATGTGCCAGTAAAGATTGACAAATTCTACATTCCAGGAGACTTCGTGGTGTTAGAGATGGAAGAAGATGCTAAGATTCCTATTATCCTTGGGAGACCGTTCTTGGCAACTGCTGGAGCAGTGATTAATGTCAAAAGGGGAACCTTAGTGCTTGAAATTGGAGATGATAAAGTTGAATTTAATATTTTTGAATTGGCTAACAAATCTTCTTGTCTTGATGCTCGCTTTTATGTAGATGAAATTGACTCATGTGTTGAAGCTCATGAGAGGGGTAAATGGATCTCCAATGATCCTTTACAACTCAAAAGTGAAGACACGATAGAGAGTAGACAAGTGGATGATGGCACGAGTGGTGGTGAATCATAGGACACACCACTAGTGTCTATTGCTTGTAGCCTTGAGGAAAAGGAACAACAACAGGTAATAAAACCCTTACCAACAAATTTGAGGTATGCTTATCTTGGTCCAAATTCTACCTACCTAGTGATTGTAAGTGCTCATTTGAAAGATGATGAAACTGAGAAATTGTTAAATGTGTTGAGAAAACATAATAAAATCATTGGGTACACTATTGATGATATTGTTGGAATTAGTGCCTCTTACTGCATGCACAAGATTAATCTAGAGGATGGGCACATGCCCAGTGTTGAGAACCAGCGTAGGTTAAACCCTACGATGCAGGAGGTTGTGAAGAAAGAGATCCTAAAATTGTTGAAGGCTGGCATCATTTACCCTGTTCCTGACAGTAAGTGGGTCAGTCCTATTCATGTGGTTCCAAAGAAAGGGGGGACAACTATGGTCCGCAATGAGAAGAATGAGCTCATTCCTACCAAGTTAGTCACTGGGTGGCGGATGTGCACGGATTACATAAAGTTGAACAATGACACCAGGAAGGATCATTTTCCTCTCCTATTTGTTGATCAGTTGATTGAAAGGATGGCTAAATACTCCTACTTCTGTTTTCTTGATGGTTTTTCGGGGTTCTTTCAGATCCCTATTCACCCCGATGACCAAGAGATGACTACTTTTACATGCCCATATGGTACCTTTGCATATCGAAGGATGCCATTTGGGTTATGTAATGCACCGGCCACATTTCAAAGGTGCATGTTAGCCATTTTTTCTGATTTAGTTGAGAAGACTATGGAAGTATTCATGGATGATTTTTCTGTATATATGGTTCGTCTTTTGATGATTGTCTTGACAATTTGGATGAGGCATTGGGAAAGTGCCAAGAAGCCAACCTTGTTTTAAATTGGGAAAAGTGTCACTTTATGGTACAATAGGGGATTGTTCTTGGACACAAGATTTCACAGGAGGGTATTGAGGTTGACCCGGCCAAGGTGGAAGTCATTGAGAAATTGCCGCCACCTGTCTCAGTAAAGGGAATAAGGAGTTTCCTTGGCCATGCAGGGTTTTACTGGAGATTTATTAAAGACTTTTCAAAGATCTCTAAACCTCTAACCCAATTGCTTTTAAAAGATGCTAACTTTGTTTTTGATGATTCTTGTCTTGAAGCTTTTTCCAGGTTAAAGACAGCATTGACAACAGCTCCCATAATGTCACCGCCAGATTGGAGTTTATCATTTGAGATTATGTGCGATGCTAGTGATTTTGCTGTAGGAGCCGTCCTTTATCAAAAAAAGGGCAAGTGCCTACACCCAATTTACTATGAAAGTCGCACCCTAGATGATGCTCAGGTTAACTATGCCACAACAGAGAAAGAGATGCTAGCTGTAATTTTTGCTATTGATAAGTTCCGGTCTTATCTGGCTGGAAACAGAGTGATTATCCATACCGATCACTCAGCACTGAAGTACTTGATGAGCAAAAAAGAATCCAAGCCAAGACTGATGAGGTGGACTCTTCTACTTCAAGAGTTTGACTTGGAAATCAGAGACAAAAAGGGGACTGAAAATCTTGTAGCTGACCACCTGTCCCGGTTAGAAAATCATAAAGAAGTGGATGAAGAAGAGAAGATTCCAATTGATGATTATTTTGTGGGGGAGCAACTGATGGCTCTCCGTGTTTTTATGCACTGGTATTCAGGTTTGGTGAACTATGTGGTTTGCCAACAATTCCCACCAAATGCCTCTAGATCACGGAAGAAGAAGATACAATGTGATGCCAAATTTTATCTTTGGGATGAATCGTTTTTGTACAAGAGGTGTGCAAATGGAATATTAAGAAGGTGCTTGCCCGAAGATGAAACAGAAAGTGTCCTAACCCACTGCCATTCATCACCTTATTGGGGACATTTTGGAGCTTCAAGAACTACAGCAAAAGTTCTACAGTCAGGATTTTATTGGCCTAGTCTATTTAAGGATGCACACTCTTTCGTGGTTCGTTGTGATAAATGTCAAAGAGTGGGCACAGTGGGAAGGAGAAACGAGATGCCTCAACAGGGCATTCTTGAAGTGGAACTATTTGATGTTTGGGGTTTGGATTTTCTGGGTCCATTCCCCAAGTCTTTTGGTAATGAATACATCCTATTGGCAATGGATTATGTTTCTAATTGGGTTGAAGCCATTGCTTGCCCTACTAATGATTCCAAGGTTGTCATCAAGTTCATCAAGAAGAATATTTTTGCAAGATTTGGGGTACTAAGGGCTTTGATCACTGATAATGGGACACATTTTTGCAACAGAGCGTTGGAGAAAGTCCTTGAGAAGTATGGAGTTCATCACCGACTCTATACTCCCTACCATCCCCAAGCCAATGATCAAGTGGAATTGTCAAACAAAGAAATTAAATATATTCTTGAGAAAGTAGTCAACCCGTCCTGGAAAGATTGGTCCACAAAGCTTGATGATGCACTATGGGCATACAGGACTGCCTACAAAAATCCCATTGGAACTTCACCATTCAGACTTGTCTATGGGAAACCATGTCATTTACCTGTGGAGTTGGAACATGAAACTCGTTGGGCAGTCACAACGCTCAACATGGACTTGCAACTTGCAGGTGAGAAGAGGCTACTTCAACTAAATGAACTTGAGGAATTTAGGCTTGATGCCTATGATAATGCAAAAATCTACAAGGAGAGAACCAAGAGTTTGCATTACAAGCACATTTTAAGAAGAGAGTTTGTCCCGGGAGAAGATGTCCTTTTATTCAATTCAAGGATGAAATTGTTCCCGGGAAATTTGAAATCCAAATGGACAGGGCCATACAAAGTGATTAAGGTGCATCCATCAGGTGTCGTGGTGATTCAAGGAACAAAAGAGGATTTCACAGTTAATGGGCAAAGATTGAAGCACTATTATTCAACCGAGGAAGTTAAGGCTAATGTGATACATTGCCTTAACCTCCCGACCTACACGTGACACCTGAAAGAGGAGGTTACGTCGAGCTAGCGACGTTAAATTTAGCGCTTCGTGGGAGGCACCCCATGTTATCCTTTAATTTCTTGCATTTCTATTCCTACTTATTATTTCGTTTTGGTTTTTGTTTTTGTTAGACTTGAGTGGTTTTTGGTGTAGGGTGTTAATTTGTGATTTAGGAGTTGTTTTTTACTAAGGAATCAGGCTGAAAATCGTCCTGGGCGAAAAATTCGACACTGGAATTTTTCGACGCGTCGAGACGCCCAGGCCAGAAGAGAAAATCTTTCTGGAAATTTTCGACGCGTCGAGCTCAAACCGTGTCGAAAATATTCCATTCTGGAATTTTTCGACGCATCGAGCCTAACAGGAATCAGACCTTTAAAAAAACGAGTAAAGTCAGTTTTTTCCCAAATCTCTCTCTCTCTCGCGAAACCTCTCGCCCTAACTTCCCAAGTCCGAAATCCTCAAGCTTTTTCACTCCAAGCAACTCCTAAGGCTACAAGGTAACATCAATACTCTACTTTGCTATTGATTTCTTGGATTCGTGGTGCAAATTGCTTCATTTTTGGGTAGAAATCCTAACCCACGAATTTTTTCCCAATTTTTAAAACTTTGAAAGCTAGGTTGCTTAGTGTTGATTGTTCTTGATTGATTGTTGTTATGAGTGTTTTCTTGCTTATTTATGATACCTTGCACTCAAGTTTTGATTCTAGTTTATTAAGTTTTGCTAGTTATTTGCTTTCAATTTTAATTTGCTTTGTTGTGTGATTTTAATTCAGGGTTTAGTTTAGTTTTTATGTAGTACTTGCTATTGATGATTTGTATCCATGATTTGGTTGTGTGGTGAACTTGTGGGATGAATTGGAAGTGTCAATTTTGCATAAATCTATTGTGCAATTTCATGCCCATAAGGTGTTTGATAAAATGCCCAAATGAGCTTCTTGTCTTATTTTGAATAGTTTGAGAATCTTGGCTCAATTGTTATATCCTAATTGTGAGCCCTTTGTCTTAACTAAAGAATATATTGCTTTCACCTTGTGTTTTGTAGACATTCCTTATGGCACTTAAGGCACGCGCACCATCCAAACGACCAAGGGCAGAGTCCTCCCAAGCCCGGGCACAACCCCAAATCCCGGCGTTTGAATGTTTTGCTACCCCCGCGGCACAAATAGCGATCCCAGTGGCATGGAATTGGCGACCTCGATTCCTAGCTCAGCCAGGGGAGGCTTTTGGCACGCTCGTTCGAGAATTCTATGCCAATGTCAAAGACGGCCTCCAGGATAATATTTGCACTGTCTGAGGCGTACAGGTGGACTTTTCTGAAGAGGCCATTAATGCGTACTACGGTACCATTAATCATGAGGGCCGAGATTATTTTCACGGTGATATGGGTAGTGGCAGCATGGAGCCGGGTTGGTTGAACAGAGTTGCCAAGTATTTCCACCCAGCAGCCGAGTGGAACATTAGGGGAGGTGTAGCCTCCCACATGGACTACAAGTATTTCCAGCCTGCTGACCGAGCAATACTGGATTTCATCAAGGCCAAGTTCGTCCTCAATTCTCATAAGGGGAATGTCCGAAAGGATCAGGTGCTCCTAACTTACTGCATCAAGGAGAACAAGACCATTGATATTGGCCAAATCATAAACGGCAACATCCGTGAAGCAGCGGAGGCAAAGGGTCGAGTATATCTTGGCCATTCTTATCTTATCACTCACCTTTGTCAGCTGGCAAAGGTCTCGATTTATGAAACCCAGGAGGTGCGGTTGGCACCACAGGCTTTCATCTCACAGCTCTACATTGCCACCCGCTACAGGCCCGGACAGCAAGCCCAGCAAGGTGAAGATGATGAAGAAGATGAAGATGCGGGGGATGATGAGAATGCCCCCCTAGTTTGAAGCACCAGCACCTGCACCTGCCTATCCCCATGATTGGCAGGATTTCATGAGAAGAATAGATGAGGTCAACTGGTTTATGGGAACATCCATTCACCAGCAAAATCAAGCACATCTTGGTTTCCAGCCTCATTTTCCACCACCACCAT